AACAGAGGGCCCAAAGCCTCGGCAGCGTGTCACTGGCGTATGACACGGCAGTAGTCGACCAAATCCCACAGCCGGGTGACCTGTATTCGAGCGACGATCCGCTCTTCTTCTGTGACGACGGGGGCTGCATCTACGCCTTTCACGAGGTCAATACCAAGTCGGCCCTCGACGCCAACTCGTTCCCCATCACGGCCGTGACGAACCGGCTCGTCCGGGTGGACACGGCATGCCGCAGCTATCGCGTCACTTCAGGCGGCGACGGCCTCTTCGAGAACATCACCATCGCCGACAGCAACAGCAACGGCGGCGCGCGCAACGTCACGCTGCCGGTCCTCGGCGGCGGCGACCAGTCGACCTTTTTCACCGACACAATGGCGCCATGCGGGCCGGCGTGTGGGCGCGTGTCCGTGTTGGAAGCATCATCGTCCTCGCCGTGGCTCTACGAGTGCAACACAACGGTCGGGACGCCATCGAACGCTTCACTCCCTCAGCACGCGCTCGGCGACGATCTCGTCTGGATGGTGGCCGTGGCCGTGGCGTTGCAAGGCTACTCGACAACGGCAGCAGACGAGGACCTGCAGGTCCAGGGCATCGTGTATCCGGCGGCGACGTACTGGGGCACGCCGATGAGCGGGAGCAGCGATGGGCTGGCGCTGCTCATGTCACGGTTCGCCATTGGCGTGCTCGGCATGGCGGCGCAGTCGAACACGGCGCTCTTCGTGTGGGGAGACGCGCCGACGATCGGCCAGAAGCTCAACATGGAACACTGGGACATGATCCATCTCATCATGGTGCTGACGGCGGGGCTGCAGCTCGTGCTCGGCACGGCGGCGGCGCTGACGGCGCACAGGGTCGTCGTGCCCGAGGGTGGGCCGGTCGCCGAGGCCGAGGTGCTGAGGCCGATGCTCGGTGGTGCGCGGAAGAGGCGGCGCGGGCGGTTCGACAAGGGCAAGGGCAGCATGTCGTTGACGGTCGGGCAGGGCGGCGACGTCAAGACGGCGTGGGTGTACCGCAACAAGTACGTCGGGGATGGCGTCTACGATCTGTACATGGAGGAGGTGGTGGTCCCGTGCAAGTCGTCCGAGTCCAAGACAAACCGGGGCGCGAAGAAGACGGCGAGCAGATGGACCAGGTTGCTCAAGAGAAACAAGGACAACAGGGTGAGCACAGACAGGAGTAGCAGCTCGCGCGCAGGCTTGCGAGACGGATGAGGCAACGTGCAGGCGATAGAGTAAGAAGCATTCATTCGAGCCTGGAAGTCCAAGCGTGGAATTCGACGAAGAACCAACACGATGGAAAGTGCACGCTCCTCGCATCAAGGCTGCACCGTTATCGTTCGGTCAGAAGCTATGGTACGATTAGAGGATTGTGCCACTCATGCACTGCAGCATGCGAATATCTCCCTAGCTGGCAGCCCAGTCGTTCATCAATTGGTGAGGTGGCCGAGTTGGTTATGGCGCCAGGTTAAGGTCTACCTTAACTAGATTTCCTGGTGGGGCAACCCGCGCGAGTTCGAGTCTCGTCCTCATCATTTCCTTTTGCTGTGTGCCGTGCCGCTTTCCTTTTGAGGGTTTGCTATATGCATGGTGCTGTGCGCGGATGGAAGAACTTGGCCTCTGCAATTGCGCCTCTGGAGACGGTCCGAGCTGGGGTACCATGTAGGTTTAAGGTATCTTGAGGTTGGGTTGGCCGCTGTCGATGCATCTCATCCTGCCCCTAGGTGCCGTACCAGGGGATGTCAAAAAAAAGACGCCACACTCCGTCAAGGGGCCCTCACTGGGAACCGCAATGCTCTACTTTGCATGAGCTCGAAAAATCATAAAGATAGGTCTGTTCTCATTTATGTTGCCATTGGTGTAGCAGATTGAAGTTCAGAGCTTATAATCCCGATGCGAGGTATTGAGAGGATTCCGAAGTTCGGGGTCTGTCTGGACGAGACCTGTGTTCGGCGGACTTAGAGTGTGGCTCAATCTGTGACTCCCTTCTCTAGGTACCTAAGCAGGCTGTCGACAGAAGATCTGGCCCTCGTAACATCCTTCCCCTAACAACACTACTACAACAACGAAAATGACCGATTTATCACACCATAATGCACCTATACAATCTAGGGGCTGCTACCTTTATGATGAATCCAGAACGTGTACAGTACTGGATTTATTTCAGGCTGCAATGGATGAGGGATGTGGTGGTTGTGGAGGGTAGAATGCCTAGTTGGTAGGCAAGGTAGGTATGGGTGATAGTATGTGGGCCAGAAATCTGTCAACAGCTTGCTGAGGTAGGTACCTACCTACCTACCTACCTGCCTACCTTCGGCGGCAGGTGCAGCCTCCCAGCATCCTCCAACATCACAACCACCATCAATACGATGGCTGCATTCGAGCATGATGTGTCCTCTCCAGAGCTGTGAAAGATCATCATGGCCTGAGAGGGTCTTCCTTGTACAATCCAGCAACGACGCCTGCTAGCCTTTGGGACTCAGACAACTCTGCATCAGTTCGCCCACATCCTCCGAGGCTGACTGCGCACGTCACCACCACACACCACACACGCATCACAGCGATCGTTCTGTCTCGCAAACCCCATCGAATCCCCATCGAAACCATGTTCCACCACCGTCCTCTGTCCGAGGCTCGCCGTGAAATCAGACTCATCCGCTTCGTGGTGGCTCCATCTTCGGGACCCCCCTCTGAGGAAGCCCCCATCGCCCTCGAGCTCTGCCATGTTTCCCTCGACGAGGATCCCGAGTACGGGGCCCTCTCCTACGTCTGGGGTGACATGCGCGAGACACTCGAGGCCACCGTCGACGGCCGATCCTACGCCATCGGCCGGAATCTGCACGGGCTCTTCCTCCAGCTGCGTCGCCAGAACGTCACGTCGTGGCTCTGGACAGACGCCATCTGCATCGACCAGACCGACCCCAATGAGAAACGGTGGCAGATCGGCCTCATGCGTACCGTCTATGTCCAAGCTGCCGTGGTCCACCTCTGGCTGGGGCCAGGCAACGCCAACACGGACGCAGCCCTCGACGCCCTCGCGCGCCTGGGTCAGGCAGCCGAGGCATGTGGCGCACCCGCCTTGCTGCTCGAAGTCGGCAGGGCAGGGGAAGTGGCGGATATCATCAAGAATCGCCTCGAGAACCCCGACTCTCCCAGTCAACTCGACGGTACCCACGAGGAGCATGCCGTGGCGTCGTTCTACGAGGCGCTCCTTGCCGACCCCGACATGTACGCAGACGAAGCCACAGGCGCTCCCACGCCCACGCAACGCGGCATCCAGGACATGCTCGAGCGAGACTACTGGACGCGCATGTGGATCATCCAGGAAGTCACGGTGCCCCGTCACGCCATCATCGCCTGCGGCAACGCCACGCTGCCTCTGCCTCTGTTCAACGCCGCCCTCGGCGTCATCTGGGCCTGCAAGCGCACCTTTCGTCCCGCCCTGCCGCGCTACCGAGCCTTCGCCGCCGCCATCGATGAGCAGATGCTCGACGTTCGCGCCCTCAACACCCGCGCCGACTATCATGCTGGCGTGTCGCTGATGCTGCTCGACATTCTGTACATTCGGGACCCGGCGCCGGGACGGCCCTACTACGCCGTGACGGACCCGCGCGATGTCGTCTTCGCCATTCTCGGCATCGTCTCGGATGGAGAGGCCCTCGGTCTACAGGTCGACTACGCAAAGACGCGTGCCCATGTCTTCGCCACGCTGACGAGGGCTCTTATCATGCACGGCGACTCGGCGTACGGCAGCTTCGGCCTCGACTCGGTGGTGCCGAGAGCAGCGGCAGCGTCGGATGATCTGCCGTCTTGGGTCGTCGACTGGCAGGCCATGGGCATGCGCGGAACCCCTCAAAAGGCCGTCCGACACCAGGGGCTGTTCGGTGGGTGGTGCGATGCCACACGAGGCGGGCCGGGTCAGGACGGAACAGAGCAACCAGCCGACACCGACAGCGGGCTGTTGCGCCAGGGCGGATGCCGCGTCGACGTCGTTGCCGAGGTGCTGCGCCCCCCGACGGGTAGGCCCTGCAACAAGTGCACGCCGCCTGCGCTCTGCGAGCGATGCCACCCCGATCTCGACTGGTCCGCCGTCGAGGCGTTCGCCCGCCTCGACGAGGCGTCGAAACCGAATCCCGACTGGGGCGCCACCGTGTCGGCCCTCGCCACAGCCGTCACGGCCATGGATCCCGTGTCGGTGGAGCACATGGCCCGCATAGAGGCGCCCAAGGTGTTCCGGCTCGTCAGCAAGATGCTGCTCGCCCGTCCCATCGCCGCCGACGCCCTCGACGACACAGAGGCCGCCCTGTACCGGGATGACATTTACGGCTACTGGAGCTCGGCGCCCGCGGAGTTGGCCCTGACGGACGAAAACATTGCCGAGTGTGCCGATGCGCTGCGGCGGCACTGGGCGGCGTGTCTGCGCGGGCGGACCTTTTTCTGGACAGAGGGCGGCCGCCTCGGCATCTGCTGGGCCGGCGTGCAAGCCGGCGACGTCTTGTCGCTTGTTTGGAATGCGCCGGCGCCGGTCGTGCTGGGGCAGAGGCAGGGTGGTGGTTTTGTTTTCAAGGGGGATTCGTACGTGGCTGGGATTATGGAGGGGGAGTTTCTTGAGGAGGAACCTCTGCATGAGGTGTTCGATATCTACTGAGGGGCAGCCGTCCGGCGTGTATTGCCGAGGATGCGGGACTGCGTTGTTCCCACGATGACGATGAGAAGGACGACAAGAGCTCACGGAGAAGGAACCCGTTCCAAACGACGTACTGCACCTCCACACCCGCGTCGGTCATGCATGGATATCGAGCAGGCTTTGTGGTACGAGGGTGCGTTTGCTCCATTGACATGATCTCGTGCTCGTCATGCCCTTGGCAGACGAGGTTCCTTCGCCAGTCCCGTCTCCCTTTCCCCCCTTTCCCTCCGTCCGAGTCTCATCAGATCTCACCGTCGCATGCCAATGTCTGACTACAAACATACTGCGCCTCGTGGAATGCATCCAGAGCCGGGCCGTCAGAAGACCAAGTCGCCGTACACGTCCTCGATGCTCTCCGCATCACACTCCCTCTTCTTCTTGAGGAACGCCAGCAGGCTCTCCGTCTCGAGATCCAACGAGCGCGGATGTCTCGGCTCGTCCTCATCGAAATACGGGCTCACCAGGGCCGCCACCTCCCTCCCCTGCGCGACGAGCCCATCTTTCCAATCCTCCCACCAGCCCCGAAACCCACCCTCCGTGGCACCGCGCGCAAGCCGCTGCGCAAAGGCGAGGTACGCCAGCAGCCCCTCGACATGCACGGGATGGACGACGCCGCCGTACGTCTTGGTCACGGTAAACCCGTGCCAGAACAGCAGCCGCTGGAAGACCATCTCGCCCCGCAAGGCGCTGCCGCCGCCGCGACGGCCCTGACCCTGGCGCTGACCCTGGCGCACGATGACGACGCTCCCAAACAGCCTCGACAGCGCGTCGGGCCCCCAGACAGTCGACGCCCGCAGACCGCGCGGCACGACGGCCGGGTGCACGATCCAGCGCAGGCCGAGGCTGAAGGGCACGGCGAGCGGGAACCCCCTCTTCCAGCACGGCAGCGTCGTCATCTCGACGGGCGGGGCGCCGAGCGCGAGGTGCCACGGCGACGCCGGGTCGGTGAGCTTGAGGGCCGGCTGGTGGCGGTGGCGCGCGCGGTCGGGGGCCGGCGGGGCCGCGTGGCAGGGGGCCTGGAGCACGGCGTCGACGGCGTGCGTGAGGTCGCGCAGTGCGGCGTCGGTCACGGCGACGAAGCTGCCGCGCTCGTCCGTGGCGTAGGCAAAGGCGAGCACGGGACCGAAGACGGGCGTCACGTGGCCCGGCCTGCCCAGCGACTGCACCGCCCAGTTGATGTCGCGCGGGCCGGCGTCGTCGTGGGGCGGCGTCGCGCCGACGAGGCCGACGCCGTGGCCCAGCGGGTGCGGGAAGAGGAAGCGCTGCGCCGCGAGGGGCACCATCCACGTGCGGGTCGCGAGGCCGTGCCTCTCCGCCCACGCCGTGACGAGGCTGTCGTCGTCGAAGAGGAACGACAGGTTGCCGTTGGTCTCGTCAAAGTGCGTCTTGACCCAGAGGAAGACGGGCGTCGCGTAGTCGGGCGCGAAGCAGATCAGCAGGCGGTGCGCCGCCGAGGGCCGCGTGCCCTCCGCCATGGCCTCCCGAAGGCCGCACACGTCGGCGTGGAACGCCTCGTCGTCGGCGCGGCAGCCCTCGGCGCAGTAGCCGGCCTCGTCGCACGCGGGGCACCGCGTCTTGACGTCCCCCTCGCACCGCAGGCACCGTTGGCGGATGCGCACGTCGTCACGCGTCATGTCGACCGGTGCGCCGGCCGTGTCGATGCGGAACCTGTGGAGCGAGGCCTCGACGTCGAGCGCGCCGTGCGCAGACTGCCCCTTGCGCATGGCCATGCCGGAGGAGGGCAGGGAGAAGGCGATCCGGTAGGGGAAGACCGTGGGACGCTGCACGCACACGAGTTAGGCCGCGGACACGGAGGCGGGGGGGGAGGGACGCTGTCTGGCCGTGGAGCGCGACGTACAGTAGGGTTGCGCAGGGCATGGCTGTGCGCGTGCGCTGTCTTGGGAGAGGCGAGGTGCTGGCGGATGCGCAGACGCTGGACGTCTTGCCCGCGATGGCGCAACATGGCGTGGAACGAGCGGCGTACGTGGCGATGCTTTGATCGTTGCCCTTTCGACTGGGATTGTACTTCTGTTGCGGCAACCCAAGGGAGGAGTCTTGATTGTGATACGTCGTCGTGCTGGAGATGGCTGGAGGTGATGGCTGGAGGTGATGGCTGGAGGTATCTCGATCGTGCGTAGGCGGGTGGTGAGGATTGTTCGGGAAGGAAGGAGCACGATCGATACCGCGTCCCTCAACGATCAATAGTTGACTGCCTACGAGTGAATGGCAGCCTTGCGGATCCCAGGCGGTGAGATGGCCGCTCAGAAGGCAGAAGGCGTACAGCCTGCCTGGACGGAAAGAAGACAGAAAGGTGCGTCGATCAGGGCACGGCAGCACACGCGGAGAGACAACAGGCCATCACGCACGCTTACAACTGGCGACAAGAATCATGTTCGCTGACGACTGACTGCGCTTTCTGTATGACAGTATCCCAATCGCTCATGCCGCTGCTGCTGTCTATCAACCGATCCTGGATGTCTTCCCAAACGCTTCGGCCTGCCTATACTCATGCGTGGCTCTATCCTGACCCAACCCTTCCCCTGCCTTGTCAGCCCAGCCTATACACTCAAGCTTCTCTTTGGAAGCGTCTCCTCCTCAGCCTCTTCTTCCTCACTCTCGCTCTTCAAGTAAAGTGGCAGGCTTTCCACACTGACCGATCTGTTGTAAAACGCCTCATTGTCTTGGACGGTGGCCTCGTCCGTCGTGTCGTCGACTATGCTATCAGCCGTGTCACGGGCATTCTCGCTGACAGGCTGGATAGCCGTCTCATTTTTGACCTCATTCGTGGCGTTGTTCGTGTTCGCAGATGCACTCGGGGCGTGTGTTGCCACAACCCCATGGCCGCGACCTCGTCCTCTATGGAGATTGCCTCGTGGGTTGAAACCCCTACCTCGACCTGGCACGTGCCGCAACGAGACTTGGCCTCGGCCACCCGCGTGGTGATGCACGGGAGGGTTAGAATGTGTACACGCCCGCTGCGGCGGTCGTGGATACCTTGTCGTGTGATTCTGGTGCTGTTGAGGACCATTCGAATAATTGTAATGGTTCGGCTCAGGCTGGTCGCATGTCGTGGGATCTACCGGCGCCGACGATGGCATCCGATACTGCGGAGCGACCCACTGTTGGTGTTGCTGAGGACCTTGCTGCCAGTGTTGATATGCTTGAGGAGCTCCTTGAAAGGTTACAAAGTACTGTTGACCATTCGGATACGGATATTGTTGCGGACACTGGGTCTGCGGCTGAGCGTGCTGCTGGTGGTACTGTTGCTGGCCTAGGTTCTGCTGTTGAACGTACTGCCGAGCATAGAGCTGAGGGTACGGCCGTGGGTATGGCTGGGGGTACGTTCGGGTGTGCTGTCGAGGGCCCTGGCGATGGCCTTGCTCATGCTTTTGTTGAACAATTGGCCGTTGAGAGAACTGCTGAGTAAATGGTTCCTGCCGCTGCACGCACTGCTGTTGTCCGTTTGGAGGGCACTGAGGCTTCTTCGCCGCACTGGGGCGAGGAGGAGGAGCAGCCTCCTTGGGGGGCACGTCTACACCTTGAGACTGTGGAGCGGCGAGATCCTGGGGCTTCTGGGGCTCACCCAGGAGCGTCTGCTCAGGCTCTGCCGCTGGCGGGAGTCGTACCAAGGCACGAGCATCGGGGTCGTGGAATAGAGACTCCGCAGAGTCCCTCAGTTCGTTTGTACGGTTTTCTTGAGCACCAGCCAAGGTTTCAGCCGGAGAGTCGTCTACGTTGGCCTGTGTTGAGTTTGGCGTAGATTGGAACATAACCTGCACCGGTTGAATACCCGAATCTGCGTGCTCAGGGGGTTCTTGGATCGGTTCAACAGGAGCCTCAACCACGTTGTCGTCGTTCTGGGTCGGGTTCTCGTCGACAGACGAGGAAGATGAGTCGACATGCTCCGGGGGCTCTTGATACGATTCGATAGGGGCCTCGACCACGTTGTCATCGTTCTGGGTAGGGTTCTCGTCGACCGACAAGGAAGATGAGTCGACATACTCAGTACAACTCTTGGAGTCGCTCATGGGGTCCGCTATAGGTAGCTCGTTCTCTGGAGGAGTGCTACGTTGAGTGACAGGCTGCTGCATAGAGAGTTCTACTTCTTCAGCCCAAGACATGGCCTCAGGATGTTGCACAGGTATAGCAGTTGGAGTGGACCCCTCATCGGGACCAACTTGAGAGCTTGTGGACCGGGAGCTCTGCGTGCTCGCAGGTCTCGACTCAGGTTGTGTTGGCAACACCTTCTCAACAGCATCGTCGTGAATGATCTCTGAAAGATTCTTCGCTTCCTTAGTCCCATTCGGCTGTTGAGGCTCCTGTTGGTGCTCAGGTTTCTTTGACGCCTCTTCCTTTGAGTCCTTCTTACAAGTTCGTCCATGGTTCCCGTTGCTCGTCGTTGCTGCTCCCAGGGTACGAGACATGGAACATGATGTCTTCAAAGGCCCCTTGAACACAGTCTTCGAAGCACTGTTGGCCTTCGTCTGATTAACTTTTGGTGCAGGTTTTGACCAGGCGCTCAAAGAGGCGCGAACCTTACTTTTCTCGCTGGTTGGTTTGGTCTTCGCTGGCGCCCTTTTCTTCCTGCGAACGACGGTCTCCCAGACTTGCGAGTTTGATTGCGCTTGCTCCATGGCCTGATCATTCGTATTCTCGGGCAAAGAGAGATCGATCTTCCATTTTTCGTCCGACACGGCATCGGACGACTCATCAGCGAAAGTGGAGGTAACAGACATGCCCTTATTCCCTGTGTCTTCCTTTGGCCCTGTACTTTCGGAGCCTCCTATCGACGCTTGCTCTGTATCTGTCACACCAGCCTGCTAGGCTGGCAAGCGCTTGGCAGGCTCGTCCAGCGGCTCGCTCGCCTCGTCCGGTGAGGCCTCTTTGGCAGGACCTTTCTGAAGAACATCAACCTTCCTCGAAAGGTCGTTCACCATTTCGGTAAGTTCATCAAATCTCCTCATTGCTCTTTTTTCGAAAAGTATCATCAACTCATGAAGCTGAGCATCCTTCTTGTCTTTCGGTCCTTTCTGCTGTCGTCCGGTGCTCGTCTCGGTATCGTCATCGTCGTCGTTGTCGTCGTCCGCTATGGTGGAGCTGAAGCTGGATTCCTCCGACATGGTATAGCATGACGTATCGATGGTACTGGCCTGACATGTCTTGTTGAGGTCCCTCGGTGTCGGTCCCTGCGAAGGTACCTCGTGGACCTCATCCTCTGTATGAGGACCGGGCTGTTCATGATCAATATGCGATGAAACCTCCCCTGGGGAAGAGGTATCGGTCTCGTCATTACAGGTGAGCTCGGGCTCGGGATGACCGGCATCATTGCGCTCTTCGTCTGAGCAATTGTGAGCTTCCGTCCGAGTGCCTTTGTTGTTCTTGCTATCCTCATGAATGCAGGGCTCCGTCGCATGAACCCCAAACTTGGCGTTGTCTTGCTTCTCTGGAAGCAAGTGCTGTGAATATTCATGCAAGTCGGGCTCGGGATGCAGAATCTTTGTGCCGAGCTCGGAGCTGGCTGGCCTCATCTTGCTCATGTCTTGAGGAGCTCCGCCGTCTTGAACCATGGTTTCCACTTCAGAGTCAGCATCAAGAGTGACCGAACAATCAGTGTGCTCATCCTTATCCTCAGGGGCGGCGGTATCGTCCTGAGAAGCTTCTGACACAGGACTCTCAGGTAAAGGGATACGAGTCGCGGCGAGAAAAGCGTCTTCCTCCGCAGCCACAGCCTTTGCCTCAGTGGCTTGAGCAGCTTCAAGTTTCCTCCGGGCTTGAGCCTTCTTCCTCTGCGCCCTCTTCTTCATGGACTTCGTCTTCGGAGCTGTCTGTGGCTCCTGGGCGTTGGCGATGGTATGGGCGATGGTTGGGCCAAACCGAGAAGGGTTCAGAACACAAGGATTTGCGTGCCATTCAAGTAAGACTTTGATAGCGTGGTGGTAGTCCCGCATCGAGATATCGCACAGCTTCTGGAGCTGTGCGTCCTCGTCGACATGCCAGCTTACGAAGATCAAGGGACCTTGCCAAGGGTAGAGGTGGTGGGGTGGCGCGTACCGCCGTACGCTTCTGTTGAGCCACTTGCCCTCGAGGCCCTCGGTTGTTTCGCCTACAGGTGAGATGAGGGTCAGGGCGTGGCCGAGCTTGGTGTCCTGCATGAAGAGCAAGTCGTTGCAGAGAATCGAAGAGGCGCTACCCCAGGGATCAGGACCGCATTCCACCGACAGCTGAGCAAGCTCTGGGTGGTCCAGGTCAACGCTTATCGATGTGTCGTTCATTCTGACCCAGATCAAATCAGGAGCCGAGGTGTAGGCCGGGAAGAGAAGCGCCATGTAGAGGTCCGTTGTAGGCCTTATCTGCTTCGCAAGGGACGTATAGGTGCGGCAAAGCTCTCGATGAATCGTGGATGCCTCCTTCGAACAAGAAGTGTTGCAATAGACCGAGCCGCAGCGTTTGCAATGACGGCCCTCGCCTCTGGGTAGCTCATGGCAGGATAAGCAATGGTCTCCATCCTGCTCGTCGGTTTTGTGGTGCTTAAGCCAGTCGGGGTAATTATCAATGTTGGTAGTATCGCCGGTGGCCTCGGAGGAGAGCCCCTCCAGGCCAAGAGTGGCCGTGAAGTGCGCCATTATAATAGCTATAGCAATTGAGGTCAGCATATTGCACCAAGCCCCCTGATACTCCTCCGGCGGCTACTAGTCTATTTGATCAGTCCACGCAGCGCCCGAGCTGTTTTTCGAGAAGTGTCAGGTGCAGGCCATCCGGCCCAGGACGTCCGGTCCGCTTCGTTCATGTATCACAAGTATTACACAGGACATTGCTATTCTTACCCTTTTGAAGGAAGATGAATGAATGATACAGCAAGGAAAGCTCATGTACTAACCTGAAACAAGGAGAGGAGGGAAGGGCGGGGCGGGAGGTGGTGAAAATGATGATGATGATGGTGATGATGATGCTGGAGTGACACACACCTCATTAGCATTGCAGAGCTTTCATAGCCTTACATGAACCCGTGCTTTCAAAGCGAGTCACGAGCAAGCACACGACTGCTCCGGTGGTGAGAATCAGCGGAAGGACGTACTGGTAGAGTTGGAGAGGGAGGCACTACCCTATCGACGTGGTCAGCAGTCATCCATGGCATCTAGCCAGAGCTACGAAAAGATCATTCGGTCGAAAGAGGGCTTTTCCATCACGCCAGAACATATTGCTGGGCCTCGGGCTGTCTGGGGGAAGAGTGGCAACTTACAGTCGTGGTTGGTGATGAAGTGCGGTATTGTGAGGGAAGAGTTTTGCAGCTTCCGAATTCGGGCTTGTGGGCTTCATCACTCAGGCATAGGGCCTGGATCACAGATCTTTGGCACGCTTAGTCGCCCTCTTAACCAGCGCCGAGAGAAATGCGTTGACATAGCAGCAAGTGGGCTGGAAAGTGATGGCATCGTGGCCTTATGAGTCCGTCGACGCATGCGGGGCCACTCTCTCTTGCACGGCGGTGGTGCGCTATACAATATGGGTGTGTATTCCTGGGAACCAGAAAAACGCCACTTCACGTCACGTCAGCTCTTTGTAGCTATCTCAATGATGTGGAAGAAACAGTGCACCACTGTGGTGACTTGGCTCGTTTTGAAGGCGTTGAACGGGTTCTTGGGGCTTCTCTATGTCTGAGCAGCTTACACGATTCCGAGGCGAAGAAGACGGCGGTATGTAGATCGTCTTCCGTCAGCTGAGACAGGACTTAACCATACGATCACCGAGGCGAAATGCCGATCCACACCAAATACGATGAAGGCCAATAGTGAACATTCGAGTCTGCATTGCTCCAACTTATACGCAAAGGTGCCTGCCCATGAGGTCTAGTAACCGCCCAGATATACAACAAGCCTACGTTGCCAGGCCGTCCATAATACCAAGGAAGATGAGTAGAGGCGAATCGATCAGGGTATCAGGCCAGTCATGATCTCCACGTCGCGTCCGTTCCCAGAACCCCTTCCTTCCCTGTTCCATTCATATCCTCGCCCAGCGAGCGTCGGCAAACGGAGACGCGCAAATGGGTCTACGTCCACGCGCAGGCTGGGTATCACATTAGCCTAGCTTCCCTGCGTAGCCGTCTCCAGAATGAGTGGGTATCTCGTTCGTCGTGTAACCATAACGGGGAATCAAAATCCACGAAAAGAAAACAGGAAACCATCTAAGGTGTGAAAAGTAAGAAGGGGCCACCGTGACCCAAAAATAAAGTCCTACCGATAATCCATGTCGCCTACATAGAAAAAGGGAAAGCCTAGACGAGAGAGAGCAGTCCGTGACAGGCGACTGGCACGAGCCGGGTGAGGGTCGACTCAGACTCAGAGACTGTGCACAAACACGAGAGTTGAGATGCTGCATAGAAAACAAAAAGGAGCAGATAACAAGAGCAAGAAGAAACGCTGAAGCCAACCACAACCAGAAAGAAAAGAGAAGCATCGATCAGAATCAAACCCAGGATATCGTTCAATCATCAGAGTCGCGCTGCGAACCTCGAACTGCGCACCGCACCCTTGGCCACCAGCAGTGTAAGTCGTAAGTCGTAAGAATATGTATGAAAGTATTCGTTGTGATGGGGTTCCAGGGCTGGATAACCCCTGCAGGAAAGTTAGATCGCTGGAGGCCGGCTCTGGCCCATCTGGCGTCAGTAGGCAGTAGCCGTCGAGCCTTCGCTGGCGGCAACAGCCACAAGAGCATCAAATCGCGAAGAGTTCTCGGCTGTGCGGTCGCCGCCGGGTTGCTGCGAGTGCGGCTGGGGCTGGCTTGGAGATTCCCGCGGAGGTTCCCTGCCGGGAAACCCAGAGAAAGCTGTCATGTTGGGATGCTCCATGCGGTCCACACGCGGGCCTCTGACAAGTTCGCCTTGCGCTTGTTGGGCAAGTGGGCCATGATACCAACCGTGTCGTTTCGAATCGCGTGGTGTCGATATCATGGGCGCAGACATGGTGTACTGGTGGTGGTTTCTGGTGAAAGGTGGCGTGTTGGAATGCGTAGGTGGAGTGGGAGTGCCGAGTTCGAATCTGACAGTCGGCGGATTCACCCTCACTTGCTCGGCCTGAGCCTGGACGGCTTGATTGACCTCATTAGCCCAAGCTCCAGCACTGTCGTGCGGGGGCGTGACGTTGTTGGATCGCAGGTCAAGTCTTGTCAACCCCCGATGCAGACCCATATCCCAGTTGCGGCGATCATCAGCGCCCACATGCGTGGGTTGGCCCTTCGGCTCTGCGTCAATCATCATGGGGGAGGGGTTCCGGCGGGGAGGTGTCGCGGGACGCGGAAGCAAGGGGTCGAAGGATTCAATACCAGGCAGACGAACTGTCTGCTGCGGGTTCACGACATTCGCAGCAGGGAGCGGTGGGCCCGGCTGGAACTGACCCGGCGTAACAACGTTGCTCAGATGGCTGCTGGCGTTGGGTTGGAAGCCACGGCTTTCGGGGTGCCAGGTGCGCCGCCTCCAGGCCTCGTCGGCAGCCGAGGACGTCGAGTCCCGTCGGCCAGACCAGGCAGATGACGGCGTGGGAGGTGAGCCGAGGATACTGCTGCCGGCAGGCGAGAAAGGCGCCACGTTCGGGTTGTTCACAGCATTTGGCGCGAAAATCACACGGCTCACAGGTGTGCCGTGGGGGGATTGGAAGGGGTTGGCACCAGACGGGACGCTGAGTCGTCGGCCGGGTGTTCGGGCCCCGGACGAGTACATGCTGTGGGATCTCGAGTGCGAGGTCGCCGGTGATGCCATGACAGAATTCCAGCGAGGGCTGCTCTGGCCCGTCGAGAAGGTAGCCGAGGTTGGCGTGCCAAAATCCGTGGGCGAAGCCGGGCGGTATCCATAGGGCCCATCAGCAGCCCGATAGCCTTCGAGAGATGACCTCGCGCGAGGATCGGCCATGACCAGGGGGGGAGGTCGTCGGCGGATGTCTTGCGTCGAGGCAAAAGCCGGACCGACGGAGCCCACGCTTCCGATGCTCGACGTGGACAGCGACTTGGAGTGACCTCGCACAGGGCCACCGCCGCTCCCCGCAGTTGACGCCCGCGATCGACCCGCCGCCTGTCGCACCCTGTCGGTACGAATCTGCCTTTGAAACCGGGCGCCCGTTGCCGCCAGCGAGTCCATAGGAATATCTTCATTGACGTGGACAGTCTGAGCGTGCTGCCGAAGGTTGTCCAGCCGGGAGAAACGCCTTGAGCAGTGGCACTGGAACGGTCTCTCGCCAGTGTGTTTCCTTGCATCGTATCATTAGCCTGAGGGCGGTTTGCTAGGACGGGGGATCGACGGCATACCTAATGTGTCGGGCCAGGTGCTCGCTGCGCGTGAAGCTCAGGTTGCAGGGCGGGTAATCGGTACAGTAGAATCTTTGTGACTTCTTCTTCTTGCCAGACCTGGACCCGTCTCCGTTGACGCTGTCATCGTCGGAAACGCCTTCGTCGCCGGCGGCCGTCTCGCCATCCGAATCGTCCATGTCGACGTCTTCCGAATCTCGAGACTTTCTCGAGTGTCGAGAGTTTTCTCGCGTCGGTACGCTACCATCAGCCGACTCGGGGATCTGCACGGCATCGGGGAAGGGCGACGAAGGGAGGGGCTTCTGTGAAGCCAGAGCGTTCCCGGCAAAAGAAGCCCTCGTGGGCGTTGCTGCATCCTCGGGAATCGTGTCAGGTCGTTGTTGGGCGTGCGGCGCTGTGTTTGGCCGAGGGGTGAGAGGACATGTCGTCATTTCGTCTTCATTCTGGGCAGCAGCAGCGAGCAGCGTGTTAACCGGCCGGAAAGCGGCCATCGTGAAGACGACGACGATAGGGGCGAGGAGGCGGACCGGTGTACTGCAGGAGGTTGGTAGAAAGGAGCTCCAAAGGGGAGGGCTAGTTATGTCGACCCGCGTCTGGTGGTAAGGCTGTGGCAGGCACTCGAAGAAGATGCGGGGAGACGCAGCGGAAGTGTCGGTTGGAGGGGGGCTGGTGGCTATGTCGAAGAGAAACGGGGCGGCGAGGGGTGGCGGAGGAGGATACGGGAAGGAGGGGGGGGGGAGAGGAGAGAAAGGGAGCCCGGTAGAATACGAAAATCAAGTCATCCGAAGAGGGTGAGTCGAAAGCAAGGGGAATATGGTTTCTCTAGGTGGCTCAGAGGACAAAGATGTAAAAATCGTGAAGTTTCGGTGCGTTGAAGGAGTAGAAGTCGGCGGGCTGGGAAGCGGAAGTTTGCGTCAGTGTCAGTCGAGGCCCCAGGGGGGGGGTGAGGGGGGGGCAGTTTAGACAGTCGGCGGGGGTCGTTAATCCCGGTCTAGATGCTCCCTAATGCTGGTCGACAGGTGGGGGGGTTCCAGGGTGCCAGTGCTCGGTGCCTGGTGCGGTGATGATGGTGTGCAGTAGAGAAGATGGAGCATCGGTGGGATTGCAGCATGAGCAGCGCGGCAGAATCGAAGAAGAAGCGAGGCGGGAGAAGAGCGTCAGGAGAGCATCCAGTGAGGACGAGGAGGGCGAGGGGCTCTAGAAATGCAAAGCCAGGGGGAATTGAGCGAGTGGGTGGCAATGAATGGTCGATGATGAAAGAGACCGGGAAGGCCTGGGATGGGGATCTGACCTTGCCTGTTGGGGCTGCGTTCGAGGACCGCGGGCTGCGTTCGAGGTCCGCAAGGGCAGCAGGCTAGCCACGCACCACGGCTGCCGGCCAGTCGTAGTCCAGGTCAGCCAGGGCGCCGGCGTCGTCGCTCGTCTACTGACTTACCCCCCCTCCCCTGCTTTTCCCTGGCTTTGCCTGGCGGCGCCGTCGCTGACCCCTCGCACTGGCGTTCCTCAAACCCTCATACCCTCATACCTCATACCACTCTCCGACTGCGAGCGTGCGTCCACACCCCCACCCCCCCCTTGCCCCCCTCGCCCAACTAGCGTCAAGCCTCTGTCGTCTTGCGCACTAGGTAGGCGGAGCTGAGCCGGCCCTTCGCTGGGCTGGGAGCTGGGACAGGGACGCAACGAGGCACCAACCAGGGCGAAGAAACAGACCATGGAGACCAGATCAGAGTAGGCCAGCCACCTCGAGAGATGCGGGCGGCGCGCGCAGCGGGCGATGCAAGTCACCAAGTTGAGTCAGGAACAAACAAGCCAAGACCAGGTGCTTGACCCATGGAACGGTCAGACCTAGCGAGCTGCTAGATTTCTTGCTCTCGACACCAGCACCGCGACGTCGTCACTGGCGGGCGCAAGGATCCGTCTAGGTCAACGAAGCTATACCTCAGACTCCCTAGAGGCCTTAGAAAGCGTAGAAGCCTTAGAGGCCTCAGTAGGAATGGATCTTTCAAAGGTGATGCGGCCCTTCACTGTGAGGCGCCGTGGCAAGGTTGGGTTCTCCTGCTGCTGAACTTGACCTACCAGCAAACTGGTGGACTGTGAGCGTCGATCGCGCTCGGGGAATTCGGAGATAAGAGGTCAGGTTCTAGGTGGATCATGGGCAGGGTTGAGATACACATACCTATGTACACTGGCGGCTAGCGAGGCAGATGGCTATTATAGGGGTTGGGGGAAGGGTTCAGGGTTGTCGCAGGGCAGGCGGCGCACGTCGCAGACAATGTCGAAAATGGGTGGAGAGGGGGGGGAAACGATCATGGGCCACGGGCGATGACGACGATGAATGATGAGGTGTCAAACGAGAGCGCTACCAGAGTATACCTACGACCGAATGCGACAAGCGCCAACAACCCGCAGAGCTGTGCCTCTGTTGGGCCTGGATGTGCCTAGATTTGGATATTCTGGCTTAGGAAGCCCTGACGGCGATCTGTCGCTTGGACAGTTTGCGGAGAGGGCTGAGGGTTACGGAGAGTCGCGATGGGCCGCCGCCTTATTACGCCTGAATCGACGCCGGAATCGACCGACAATGCAGAGCGACGGTGGCAATCGCTACGTATAACCACAGGCGACTGCTGCCAGACACTGAAAACGGACGGCAGGTCGCAATGCATGACGAGATGGGGTGCGAGACAGGATGAGTCCGACTGAGGCTGGGGCCATTTGGCCCTTTCAACCTCTCGTTGTTGTTGGGATAGCTGTTGATTCTGCTCTCCTTCGATGTGTCTCAGTCAAGCGATGCATTTTGACACATTATGCCGCGATGCGACACGACTAGGTTCATGGCCTGCGCTGCCTGTATGTAGGCCGGGCGATGGGACAACTTTGCCGGTTTTCTGGCCAGGCTCTTCTACCTCCTAAAAGGCCAGGCAATCGAGAATCCGACAGAGTTCGAGTCCGCTCCTTGTTTGTTGTCTGGCGTCCTCAATTGTGGGCTGGATGGGTGGATGGTGGGCTCATCCGCAAGGCACAGGTTTACTCCTGCGTTTCCGTGCCGTCAGCACGATGCAGGCAGCACGAGGCAGTCCACTCAGGTACCGAACAAAGGAGCCACGATCAAGGGAGAAGGAAAGCAAGGCGTCGATTGGTAGAGCGGTGTGCGAGGTTGGATGGAGGCTTGGAACTTTGCGAGCCTGCAAGCTTGGTCGTGGAGCAGTTGGCCGTGTGCGGGTGGGGCGGTGGGAGTGGGCCAGAGAGCTTGTGATCCACGGGTGGGATGTCTCGCCTGTGCCTTTTCTCCTTGCTGCTTGTGCCTGGTGGTCCAAATGGCGACGAAGCGCACCAGCTGTGGTTGGGGAGAGGGCTGGAGGATTAGGGGGGGGGGGGGGGGGGGGCCCTAGGGGTCTGTGATGCTTCTGTCGGGTGCGATACGCCATGTCCTGTCAAGCGTACTATCGATGCTAGCGCTGTCGATGAAGGCCAATGTGATGGGCTCGCAGCTTGGACGCGTTTGGTATGGCGCGAGGCACTGAAGCAGATGGCGATCTGATGGGCAAAATGGTGATGGTGATGGTCTGGTGTTTTGCGATGAGAGGAGCTCTGGTGATCAGCAGAGCAAGCCGAGCATGGGTGGGGGGAATACAATATTGGCTCTTGGCGGCGTCTGGTAGTCCGGCTCCTACGGCCTTCCCTCATCCCTAGCGTCGCAGCAGTGGACACTCACTGACGGACGGGTAAGGGAAGGTGCCTTTTCCTTACCTACCTTGCCTGGACAGGTACCCAGGCAGGTACCTAGCCACCTAAAAGGTGGTCAGTTGTGCCTGACATCAGGCTCCCAAGCCATCAGAGACTCTCCTTTCTACCTGTCGATACCAATCCCTGAGCATCTTGCCAACATCAAAGGTGACTGATGGATTGACTGCTACTGCTCTTCGTGCTGCTATCCAGCGGGCCAGCGGGGTAAAAATGCCAACCAGCTTCAGCTCTGTTTGGCCTACTTGCCTTACCTTTCCTCAGATGTGCATATCAGAAAGAAGGAACGTGTCACGGAGCCACGGACCACAGTGATCCTCCTTCCTGCCATCGGGTTTTCCTCGTCTCCCATCCATCTCCGTCAACTGCCCCTCGTTTCCCCTTCAGTCCTGCCCCGCTGCAGGAGACCTGCCACGGCGGCATGAGGCCGGCAGGCACAGGGGTGGCTCCCAGGGGGTCCTCGCTGTAACTGCCGCTAGCATCGTGACAAGAAAAGACAGTGCGTACAGGGTACAAGTGGACCGCTTTTTATAGTGTCGGCCCATGCTCGATGTTTACCCCTCCGGCGGCTTTCTTGAACCTGCCTTGTCCTGTCCCTGTACCTGTATACTTTTGTAACCCATGGCCACTCTATCCGGGGGGAGGAGGGAGGGGTGGGCCCTGTCAACCAAACCCGCTTCCTTCGTTGTCGTTTCCCTGCTCCACCATGACCACAACACACACCACACCACTCGCATACATCATGCCCGCCAGTCGACCAGCCCCGAATTCATTCGTCCAACGTCTTTCGTCCGACGACTCCATCCGACATCCACACACGCAAGCCCTGACTGAGCCTCTCTGTACGTCCAGGTTCTGGGATCCGTGTCACCGCTCTCTGTCCCGCCTCGTCTCTGAAACAATCCTCCCCCACCATCGCCTCGAGCCAAGCGAGAGACAACGACAGGTGTACGCTGCGATATGACACAGGTCTAAGACAGGCACCGTACAAGTACAAGTAGATGGGCGGCAAGGCGGCCAGGGAGCATCACCATCCCACACCGAGCGGAACGCAACCTCATCCTCGTGCCAGACGGACCCCGACGCCCCGCTACACACCAAGACCAATCTTTCTTGTGGCCGACCCTGTCACCTTCTTGCATGACGACGACCGCTTCGTCAGCCAGATGCATTTGCGCGGCAGAACCTGTGCCCGTGGCCCGTGACCATCAGCCCCTCACAGCCCCGCTCCTCCGGTGTGAATGATGGTCGGTGGTCGACCAATTCGGTCCCGAACATCTGGCATGGTTGTGCCATCCCCGTTGGTGGCCGTCGTTAGCCATTACGATCACCTCTATCCCAGAAGCTTGAGATTCCGACTCCTGGCAAGGCCGCCTACTTTGTCGGACTCGGCACCTGCGGCGTCATGCGTCCCTGCCCGCACCCAACGGACTGGCGCCGGCCTGAGCCAAAGCCGGCGACGCCACCCAGCCTGCCAGTCTGCGAGTCCCCCATCACGCACGCCTGCCTGCGTTCATCTTCGACATGATTGTGAACGTACCTGGACGGATCCCAATAAGCTCTAGACGAGCATCTCCCGGACGGCTGAGGTCTTACTCGGATGAACCACCTATAGTTGAGGCTGACGACCGCTGTCTTTAGCCCGACTGCCTGCTTATAGTGGACCAAAGCCAGGCCATCGTTCGGTCGCGATGCCCCACGTCCAGCCGTCTGACACCGGCCTCCATCCGGTACCTGACATAAACTTGGC